TTGAATCTATCAGTGTAAACTAGGTGTTATAATAATTAAACATCGTACGAAAAACCATTAGCAAATCTAGCAGAAAGATTTTTAACCTGACATGATCTAACTTTTCATTTATAAGTAGGTTCCTGTCTTCTGTTGCTATGGCAATTAACTGGACATGCAAAGCATATAACTTATAACTAGTTCATCATTTTGATGCACAAATCCAGTGGCCATTTGCATACTGGACATTGTCTACCTCCAGTTAATTGCCCTGCTGATGGCTAATAATGACTGACAGTGCTGCAGACTGCTAGACTCCTTTAGGCTACTTTCAAATGTTCTCATCTTATTTTAAAAAACAGCCTCTAAAATGCCATTTGACATTGCAGCTGGCCTTGAGTTATCTACAGCAGGCTGTGCAATTTATAAATCACATGTGGAATGTGATTAAAAAAAAAAAAAAAGGTCAAATTTGGTTTGGATGTCCTTAGCTTTGGAGGCATAGTGAGCTACTGACCTCTAGTTGAGAAAAACAAGATAGCTATTAGCTCTGGCCCTTTTTCTAAAATATATTTTCTTCCTACTTGCCAGCCTGCAATGTAATTTATTTTGCTTCTTGAAGACAACAGGAAAAGCTTTCATATTTTCCAGGCAACTCATTCAAACTATTTAAAAAGAATGAGAAAGTCTTCATTTTTTAAAGACTTTTTTTTTTTTTCCTCCTAGTACCTTTTCATCTGCACTCATAGAAGTTCAGCACGGATGTGAACTCAAATGACTGGCTGTTAAAATAGCAGAAGCCAAACAGGAGCTGCAGGAGCCACTGTTCTTGGAACAGCTTTTCCATTTGAAATGGTGCGGAGAAGAAAACTGAACACCATATTTCCTTCTGTTTGAAACAGCTAATTTGTGGCAAATTGATCAGAGATACAGATTGCACATAGTGCACTTGTGAATACAAGATACCAATATTTTTTCCTTTGTAAAATAACTTCACAAATGACGAAGAGGCAGAAGTGAATAGCTTCAGGAATTCACTGATACATTAGGACTCATTCTGTAAACTGCTGAACAGTGAGGTGTTCAGCACCAGACAGGATTAAGCTCTCAGCTTTTAATTCAATGTGTTTTAAAGTCACAATATTCATCTGCAAATTGTTATTACCAGCCTACCAATATCTCCATAATTTCTGTGTCTGAGACATTCTTTTTATCTTTGCTTTTCCAGAATGTAAAATGACATGTTTTGTTAGGATTTTAAAAGTAGTTATTTTTCTTTTATCCTGCCTTCCTTTCCCTGAAAGTTTTTGGAACCATCTTTCTCCTAAATTATTGCATGATTGTACGAGGATCACAGGATGAGTACAGGATGAGTAAATCACCTGCAGAGGAAATAAGAGTTCTATATATTCTATCCTTCATGGAAGAAATCAAGAAGTTCAGTTAATAAATAGAATGAATGAGGGTAAATTATGAATAATTTATGCTTGCTACTGTTGACAGTTGCCACTATCTATCTTTTAGCTCCCTTCTGTATCTCCAGGGGACAGAAGAAACATTTCATGAAAGTTTCACTTTGCTGTGAAAATACGGTTTCTTCTACAGTGTTCTTGCATTTTGGGCCACATATTGTATCTTAACTTAAGCTAAGGAAATTGTTGTGGATCCTGTGCAAAGATGTTACTATCAGACAGGACCAATGATGCTATTTCTCTTCTGCTTCCCATGGATGAGGCACAGCATTGCTTTTTCTTTGGCTGCTTTTATTTTTCATTTATATTTTTGTTCCACTGCACACAGGCCATAGTGTGGCCAGTATTTCTCGTGCTATACACATCCAGTGGGCAAATCCCATCAGAGCACACTGCATCGACACACACCTAGCTGGAGCGGTGATGAAGGGTTTGGTGTCAAACTGGAAGGTTTTACTGGGTGGCGCTCCACGCCTTTGGCCGAATACAATTTATGTATCCTCAGTGACGAAACGGATGATGGAAATAGATTTGCTTGTTGAAAGTGCAGATGTGGCCAAGCTTTTCCCAGTTTGAAAAGCGGGATCAAAATTCAGAGTGGTCTTGACAAATTGGAGAAATGTGCAGAAGATCAATGGTGCAAGTTAATAATGATGAGTAGCAAGCCAAACCTTAGGAAGTCATAACCAATGTCACGGGTACAATACGGAGAATGATGGAGCAGAGAGTAGTTCTGTGCTAAAGATTGCAACACTACCACAAGCTTGGGAAACCACACTTCAAGGAGAGCTGGTCCAAGCAGAATGATCTGAGGTTGAGAAAAAAAACCCTTTGAGGAAAGACTGAAGGAACGAAGATTATTTTTTCCCCAAGAAGAAATTGAGAAGAAATAAGTTAACATGATTCAACCAAAACAAAATGTATGAAAAGAGGAAGATAAAATCAGGTCTTTGTGTCCTCTGAGGACAGGGCGGATGTACTGCAGGGAGGGGGATAAACAACATTTCCACCGTTAAGGATATTTAAACACTGGAATAGGCTGCTTATATAGTAGAATTTTAATTACTGTCTGTTTCTACAAACATATTGAATAATAATCTGATGGAGAATGGTGCAGGATATGAGCATTGTATGAGGTGAAGGACAGGTGAACAAATTAAGCCTTAGGTCTAACAATGAACTGTTTGCACCTACTCCTAGGGTGGCAGGAAGGCACTTGGGGGTTGTTGAATCCCATTTTCTGCCGAGAAGACCTCAGAGGGGGTGGGAGGAGAGGAGCATAGTCTCTTCATAGGTCAAGAGGTCTATGTTTAGGCGCTGTCTCAAGATCCTTTCCGGTCCTACCTCCTATAAAGTTTTGCCAAGTTCATTGACTGACAGCTAGCATTTCTGGAATATCAGACTCTGCCATCAGACTTTTGACTTTTCCATACTTCTGTTGTATGGAAAAATTAAAAATAGTAAAGATATTTTGGATTAATGTTTGTGTATCAAAGACTGAGTTCTAAACTTGTATCAAGTGATCTTGTTTATTTTGTACAAATTTAAATTCAGAAGTTATAATTTCGAATTTCCAGTTAAGTGTATTTGATCTCACTCTGCTTTTAATTGTTCTTGATTTGTTAAAGAATCATAGTAAGATGCATCTATTTTATTCTTAGGGACGTTAATTAATACGGGATGTGAGATGTTCTAATAAGAGAATGATTAAGAGCTTTCCATTGTTCCTAACGGACTATGCATATAACAATTAACAATCCAGCCAATGATGAAAGCAAAAAGAATTTAATTGCCTTGCCAAATGTTATAAACACGTGTAGACTGGAACAGTGCTGTTAAGTGAGAGTGCATTTTCTTTTAGATTTGCTTGTGACTGTTACTGTGTTTCCCACCAGCGACTTGAACGCATGTTCATTCCCTTTTTCAGTAAAATGAATGCAACTGTTCGCTAATAGAAGGTTGACGTGGAGAAGACATTTCTTTTCCAGTAGATCTTTTGCTTCTGTTTTTAAATGCCAGGGGTTTAAAGTGTACAACGTACTGAAGTGACTATCTGTCATTTATATTGAATGCATTTATGGTATATCTACGAAAGGTGAGTTGTTTGTTTCCAGTTTTTAACTGACAACCAATTACACTAGACACATCCATAATCACTGGTGTCAGGACCTTCTCCGTTGGATGGCTAAAACAACTGATTTTGTTTTCCCTATCTAAAATCCTTTAGAATTTGATGGGGAAAAATCTCAGTGCAGGATAAAACCACAGTGAACTGCCATTTGGCTTTTAAGAATGGGACTTTACGGTGTGATCTTTGGATAATAATCTTACAAATATAACGTCTATGCAGACACACACATACAGTTGTGTACATAATTTAATAAGTAATTTAGGACACCTGCCTCTAATAAATGGGTGTACATTTGATCAATCATTTGCAATCAGTGAAATTTAAGAGATGCAGTTGTCTAACTCCTCAGTAGATCTACCTGTACTCATACAACGCATATCAATGTATATCAAAAGCTTTCTCATTACTTCAAAAAAATGAATTTAATTGACCTATATGAAGGATATAATTTTTTTACTGAAGAATTTTTTTTTATTCTAAGAAAAATAAGTACAAGTGGGAATATTTATCACCCTGAATACAGATGTTAAAACCACCAAATTTGAGACATGCATTATCAGATATATCAGCCATCTGGTATTTTTATTAATGTAATTTTTGTTTCAATCAGACATAATCCCACTAAGATATTTAATAAATAATTCACATTTTGTCAGCTTGCTTAATGTTTCCCTTAAGCAATGCATATGCTGTAATCTCTTTCTTAATAGATGATATTATAAATTCAGGTATTTGCAGTATAAAAGTGTTATATAGTTTAAAGGAAAGGTATAATGAATAATATCCTAAATAACAAGAGAAAAGGTAAATGCTTCCAGGTAAATCAATCAACAAACCTATACTTTCTCTATGCCTCTCATTAAACATTTGCAAAGGAAGTAATGAAACTTTTTATGTTTTTTATTCATTTAATAGTGTAATAAAAAATAATCTTTCCACTGGGTATTTGAAACCCCAGTGATTAATTTCCAGAAAAAAAAAATCAATCCAAAATGGCTAGGTAATGAGGTACGCTAAAGTTGTACTTTACAGAAAATTACAGAAAATAGTGCATACTTATCAAAATATGCACTGAGACACTGTTTTTGAATATACAAATAAACCACTATTTATATACCTTCTCCTCTAAAGGAAGAAATAATTCCAATAAATGGTGAACTGTAAAGTTTTATGTCTCATATTTAATAGCATTAAATCAGGTGCATTGCACTGATAGGTGTGATACTACTGCACTGTGAATGTCATTGTATTATATGACTCCTTTTTATTCACCTTGAATTTTATCTGTGGGATCCTATGCATATGGAACCCCATAAAGCTGGCAGCATGCAATAATCTACAGGCTTCCAGCACTGTAGTTACTACAGACGTACTCCTCTGTAAATGCGACCGAAATACCAATTTTCTCTTTGCTTTACCTTATCCTTCTTTTGTTTTTCATCTTGGTATATGATCCAGTGCTCCCCATCATTACTGTAAGCAAGCTTGTAAGACCCCACAAATTGGACGTGACCAAAATCTTTAGCTCCTTGGGTAATTATGCCAGTGATTTTTGTAGGGACAAGCAGGTCAACCTAAACAAAACAAAACAGAAATAAAACAAAACACAGGAGAACGTAATCAGAACAGTTTCTGTTTGCAGTCTGACTTTACACCACACCAAAGCAAAATGGTGCAGCATATCACACATAGTTCGCAGGCAGTTCTTGGAGAGAGGACCCAGTCCAAGAGGCGGCTTCGCACTTCTTTGCAACCGTGCCCACCGCATGCTGACGGCATAGACAGCAACTTTCCTTCTCCAAGCTCCAAGTCAATTTACTTTTGTTTTCTGTTCGTTACTTATTGTTTATACCAACTAATGGCACAACAGGACTCACCTCGTACCACTTTCCATTGTGCTAGGTCCCATACACAGTCCCAACAAAACAGCAGTCTCCACTGCAAATAATTTGTAGCCAAAAAAATGTTCCCATGTGCTCCTAATAATCAGAATACAATACGCCAGAGATTGATTCCCCAAGTGCCTTTCCATTTCCTTTGCAGTAACAGAGTCTGTGCTTTACTAAGTCTTTTAAAACATTTGCTATCACACTTCTTTTC